ACTACAGGTTGCAGTTAACATCATTTCTCAACTTAAGCTTCTGAATCCAGATTTACGGGTTGATCCCAGCATGCTACGTTTGAATGCTCGTTCACCTGGAGAAGGTTCCTCTGCACAACAAGCTGATGTGCAACTAATCAATCGCCTATCTACTGGGAGTAATAATCAAGGTCAGTACGTCTATCTTTGTTTGTTTCTTGCTTTCTTCTTCTCCTCCTTCTGCTTCTTTTTTAAAGTTTCACTTGGAAGATCTTTGATTTTGGTTGCATTCTTATTTTTGAAACTTCTTGGTGATAAATTCTCTTGTGGAACGACTTTGTTGATTTCTTTTTGAACTTCCTGATCTTGCATTTGAGGGCCAGAAGTTTGGTTAAGAACTTCAGTAGTTTCCTCCGAGCTTGCAATTGAAACTTGTTGTTCACTGTCGTACCTAGTCTCATCTTCTTCAACATTCTGTCCTGCATTCTTTTCTTGTTCTTAGCTCTTTTTCTAGCTCTGCAACTTAGTGGGCTGTCTTCACTGTGAGCTGGTAATGAACTTTGATGATTACATAGGTCCTATTATCAATATTGAGCAGTAAGCTCCAAATTGATATCACATTGTGTAATCTAATAGAATAGAGTAAATGAAATTTTAAAACTAGCCAAGAATTATGTTCAAACTTGAAAGCCTTATGATATATCCTTCTTTGTCGAACCTCTGCTTGTATATGATTTGTGCCATTACTGCTGTGTTTGTTGTTTCATCAATCACCTTCCCCACTGCATATATTATATCCCCGTGATCATTTCTCAAGAAAAAACCAATGGAACTCCTGCCCGGTTTGCCTCTTGATGCCCCATCGGTATTAATCTTAGTCCATCCAGCCATAGGGAATTCCCAAGTAACCATATTAACCTTCAGTCTAGGCATATAGTTTTCCATCATCCGCAGCACGTCTGGCCATCTTTGTGGAACATGTGTAATGCCTGGCTTTATAATCTCGACAAATGATTGGATTGTAATACAAAATCTGATACACTGTCCTATTGATCGACACTGGATCCCCATGCTTATTGCTATTTCTTCTTTTCCATAACTCCCAAACAATGATGCAAGGTAGTGCTAGAAAAACTGGTTTAAGGCGTGGAATGACCTCAACTGTCCAGCATCTAACAATAGCTTGTTGTAGGCTTAATCCCGCAAGAGATAAACCTGCATAGGAGAAGAAATATGACCATACCTTTTTTGCTGCATATGCTGTAAAAAACACGTGTGATACCGATTCCTCTTGTGGTCTTATGCAGCACCAATTAAGTCCTGCATATCATCTATTTTGTTTACACTATTCATCCTGCATAAAAATGATGATTTTCAAGATAAGTTTTTTACATATACAATCCACCCATTTCAAGTTTTATAACGTAGTAAACATGTTAGATTTTTTCATCTATATATAGAGTACCAACACTAACAAAATTAATTTGTTGACGCATCAAGTGATTATTTCACGCTAGCCATCATATGGTAGAATTGATCGGTTTCGTAGAAATAATTTTCAGCACATCCTGTCGTGGATAACATGAAAGAAACTATGGCATCTAATTGTTATATATTTGGACTTCCTGTAATTCAAACATTTGAAAAAAAAAAGGTCATGCCGACTTGTAGCAATTGTATAGGCTTTGCATATGTTCCACATGACACATTCTAGTAAATTTGAAAACTTTGTGTTTTATGCATTGTTTATGGGCCATACCCATTCTTATAATGATAAACCAACTCTCGAAGGATAATGACTTTATTTATCCTCTTTTGTATGTGACGACCCAAAGGGTCATCACCGGATTTCTCTCTTTTCCATGCTTCCGAGGCCCTAAAAACCTCGCTTTTAGTTGCCTCGATTTGCGTGCACAGTCCGGGCGCGAAGCCGGAAAGCTTTTATGTTGAAATATGTGAACTTTGTGAAAAATTTGAAGAATTTTGATATTAATATTGCTAAAGTTGACTTTGGTCAACATTTTTGGTAAACGGACCCGGACCCGTGATTTGGCGGTCCCGGAGGGTCCGTAGAAAAATATGGGACTCGGGCATACGCCCGGAGTCGAATTTCGAGGTCGAGAGCCCGAGAAATGATTTTATGTGAAATTGTTTTTCTGAAATTATTAAGGAAAATAGAAATGAAAATTGATTAAAAGACTATGGTATCGGGCTCGTATTTTGGTTCCGACGCCCGGTACAAGTCTTAAATATGTGTTAAGCACTTTCTGTGAAGTTTGGTCGAAACGGACGTCATTTGACGTGTTTCGGACCTAAATATCTAAAGTTTGAAGTTTATGAAGTTATAATGAAAAATCATGTGCCTTGAGGCTTGATTCTATGTAAATGATGTTATTTAGGCGATTTGATCGCGCGAGTAAGTCCGTAGGATGTTCTTGAGGTCGTGTGCATGTTTGGTTTGGAGCCCCGAGGGCTCGGGTAAGTTTTGGATAGGCATCAGATTGCATTTCTCATGTTTTAAAAATCTGGTATGCTGGCTTCTGCAATTTTCGCAAATGCGAAGGGAAGACTCGCAATTGCGAGCTCGCAAATGCGAGCACTGCTTCGCAATTGCGAAGTCTGGGAAAATGGGGCACTGTCGCAAATGCGATCTGCATTGAGGCCCAGTGTTCGCAAATGCGAACTAAAATCTCGCAATTCCCCGAGTACCTGGCTGGGTTCGCAAGTTCGCGAATCCAGCTTTTGCATTTTCCCCGATACCCCGNGGTCCCCAGCTAAACTTTATACCTTAAGTTGTAAAACGTTTTCTAATCTAACTTTCTA